ATGCAACCTAGCTTCTTACTTTGTCAACTTGTTTAAATCATTGACTTAATTTTTATGTTCATCAACTGGACATATTATTTTCTAAATTAATTAAATTATAAATTATGATATTAATTAAAACCAATTCGTAATTTTATTTTATAATAAAGTTCCAATTGCTAATTATTTAAATTAATATAAAAATGTTCCGAGAAGGGTTTATTATAAAAATATTAGTTTTTTTAAAAAACATTAAAATTAATAGATGATTTATTAGTTTTAAGGCTTGTAAATCATTTTTTAAAAAGGTGGAAAGATTAAATCATTATTCTTTTTTAAGTATTTCTTTAACTAAAGATAAAAATGTCATTTTAAACAAATAAAAATGGTTTTTTTTAATTATTAAATCTGATATAAATTTCAAATTTCTAATACAATTCAATTTTCCCAATTAAGATTATTAGGGATTTACGTACTCATGGATTACTTTTGAATAAAGTGAAGGGAGTCAACGCTTAAAGGAGAGATTAGCAACTGAAAGTAAGTAATCCGAAGCAATATTTTATCGTTTAATACTAAAGTTAAAACTTTATATGAATCGAGAAAACGCATCTAATATCACGTCTACTTTGAAAACGCGTATTGACTTGTATGACTTTCTATTTATTTTATTTGTATTTCTTCTATAACGACTATTTATTTTTGTTTTATCTCCTTATTACTCAGTTTCTACTTTCTACCGAAGATCCAAAACTTCTATAGTAGTAGTATCTTACGCTATAATTCAATAGTCCACGTTTTGAAAATTTAGTTCTTTGAATCATGCGATCTTAATTTGTTGTTTTCTTACAATCGGATGACTTCTAAACCAACGACCAGACCCAAGTAAAAACCAGATTTTTTTCTATGTAAAAACGTCTACAGATTTTGTTTTTGTTTTTGATATTAGTTTTGTCTACTTTCTCCTAATAATTTGAAACATCTCCTATTAATTTATTAAAGGGTGTTTTAGAACAAAAAAAAAAATTATTAAAGGGTGTTGTGTTACTAATCTATATGTAATATATCACGTGAATTGAATTGCCACGGACATCTCATGAGCACAATTACCTGTTTTAGACCCATGCAAAAATACTTGTTTCCTTATTATTATTTTTCTTTAAAAAAATTTCTAATATATATCACGGAAAAAATGTTGAATTCTGAAAAGTTTTTTTTAATATAAAAGAA